AAAGGATACCCAGAAACCAAAGCAGGTTCCAGGCTCTGAGCTGTCAGCACAGAGCCCGACGCGGGGCTTGAACTCACGAACCATGAGATCATGACCTGAGCCGAAGTCAGAAGCTTAACTGACTGAGCCACCCAGGCACCCCTTTAGAAGAGTTTTACATATAGTATAGGGAGCTTCCATATCCCCCTTCCTCCCATGAAGACTTTCCCCTATTAATACCTTGCATTTGTGTGCTAGGTTCTTACTACACCTTCGTGTGCTTTCTCTTCCACGTATTCGAAAAGTTAGAGGGAGGGCCTCGTTGCCTTCCTGAGGTGTTGTCTAGACCTCATCTGCTTCTTGTTCTAGATGTTCTCTTTCCAACTGCAGCAGAAGGGTGGGGTGGCCAAAGTCTGACTTGAAAGATACTATTAAGACCTACTACTCAATTCAGCTCAGCTCACCCAACACTTGCCCACACCTCCTCCGTTGCCAAAACCAGTCTCAGAGTATCTACCTACTGGACAGAGTCATGCTTTGGATTTTAAGGACCCCAGAAGTGGGCTGCAATAAAGTGAACGAAAGGCGCCATTGAATCAAAGTCTGTTATTAGGCAGAAGCAAGAGATCAGTACCCGCTGACAAGAACCAGGAGAATCAAGGTTTAGGGAAGATGCAGTGGAGGTGTTAAGATTTGGTGGAAGAAAGGTCTAGAGTTCCTAAGTGGGATGCACAAAGCTGAGGCTGGGGGTGGGGGGGGTTTTGGATCTAGAAGCCACACGTGGGCTTCATAGAAAGAGCGTGGAGTTGTAAAGACAAACTTGACTGGATCTCCATTTGCTGATGCGTTATTTGAGCACTGGGGACTCTGAAAGAATATTTATCTTGATAATTTTAAGGGAAAAGCAACGGGATGTGGTCACAGTTGCCAAAGGAATTCACCGTAGGCCTCGGTCAAGGACCCTTGTGTCTGTTCTCCCTCGGGGAGTGACATTTCATCACTTCACCTACACTGCGTGACTGTTAACCTCACTTCTTGGAATGTGGGTAATCTCTCAACTGGTCCTTTCAGGATGTGATGGAAACATGGGTGGAGGAAGTGAAGCTGCCTTGGGGAGAGGAGAGGAAAGAGCAAGAGAACTGTGCGATCAGAACTTGGTGATAAGAAAAGACAACTTGCTTGAGTCTGAGAAACAAAAGACCAGAAGCCTGGGGGAAGCTGCAGGGTTCGGGGGATGGTGTGAGAGCAGTGCCCCAGCCGGGCCTCGGGGAGTCACTCGGGGAACTGGGGGGAGGACCAGCTCTCAAGGCCCAGGGGAGCCACAGGCTGACGCCAGGGTGTGACAGTCCAGTCCCGTCCTCACTTGCTCGTTTCTACTGACAGAGGACCTGAGGCTTCAGTGAGGCATTTGTTACCCATCAGGTCAGGTGTTTTTCAGTCCATTCTGGCCCAAATGAATTTTATGTTTTTCTGACATAAATTAGGTGGGAGTACTCTGAGAAGCAAGCTCTGTCTTCCAGCTTCCGTTTTCAACACTCCTAATATATGAGTTCCTGTAACTGACAGATCTAACGTGACTGGCTGAGCATGAATCACCACCAACTTGATAACACAGATGATTTTCCTTGAAAGAGGAAAGGAGGGCAAGGATTCAAATTAGAATTCACTCTGTTTATGGAGCCATAGCTACCAGGGATATCTATACTTAGATGCATCCTAGAAGAAACGTGGAATGTAGATCTGTACAGAAAAACCTCATGTGTCAATCATGACAGCCCAAGATAGCTTCTTTAAACCATTCTAACTCACTGAGAATATCTCTGAGTGACTCTTGCATCCCAAGAAAAAGAGGAGACTCCCAGAAGTGGGGTTGGTGGGTCCCACAGTGCAGATCAAGTTCCACTGGATGGGGAGCGGAGGCTCGACTCCTTGACCCAGACTGACAACAAATTTCTTTTGTAAATCTGAGCATATGCCCTCCTCTCTCCATACCACACTCCTCTCCTCTCAGGCCAGGTGATGGAGCAGGGGCAGGGAGAAAAACAGGTTTTGGCTCTTGTCCCACATGCGCAAGGAAGAAACACAGTTTAGGCCGAGACGGCAGCAAAGGTCAACGGTTTGGCATCTTGCCTTGGTCGCAGAGGGGCACTTGGGTCGGGAAGCTAGTGGCAGGACTGGGCCATGAAATGAACATGAAGAAGAGATTATTTATTAATGATCCCCATCATCCCATCTGTACCCTCTGCTCTCTCCAGACAAAGGTAGTTTTACCTGAAGCAAAGGAGGCTTACGATTTAGGTCCTGATTCGGGTCTTAAGGATCTAGCAATGCCTTCGCGTTGACAGGTGCTTTTGCGAAATTAGAAAAAAAAAATCAGGTACGGGAATTACCATCGGCCGTGACTGTGCTCTCTTCTCAAGGCAACTTCCCTTAGGTCACTTCTCCTCCTGTTTTGAGCAGTGTCGGAGAAGGTAGGAGAACTTTTTTTGGATCTGGCTAAGGAGAAGCTGACTTCTGAACGCATTTAGTTTGGGCCTAGTGGGCTACGTTTTTGGACTGGGCCACCCTCTCTGTGCCTCGTCATCCCCTGCCATCTGCTGTGAGAATGGCATTCAGGCACCCTGCTGTGCCCTGCCGACTCACCTGGCCTCACTGCATGGCAGAGGTGCAGACCACGGGCACAGACGCAGGCTGCGGGGGCCTGGAACGGCATGTACAGCAAGAGCGGAGGGGAAGCGGGTTGGAAAACCCAGAGCCAGAAGCCGGTCCCGGGAAAATGCCTTTGTCAGATGTGTAAAACCCTAAGCGGAGGACTTCACGCTCAGGGACACCTTGTCAAAACGGAAGTTCTCTCCCGTCAGGAGTATAGCCCAAATGGAATGATAACTAGGCTGTGCGATGTTTTTCCCTTTTCTGAATGGAACTGCGTGGAGGTGAGTTTAACGGGAGGCCCAGGTTTGTGGGACACAGGCCTGAAAGCGGCGCACCCAGCCGTGAGGACATGCGAGGGTGAGGTCACACGCCTCATGCATCCCAACCAGAATGCAGAATACTCTTTGTTCACCGGCTGTGCTCCTCCGTGACTGAATTCTCCTTCGGTGCTCGTTATAAAAAAACAGTGCCATGTCATCCTTAATATGAAGGGGTATTGAGTATATGGGTAAAACTTGCAGGAAAGATGATTAAACGGGCGTGTCAGCCAGCTAATAAAAACAATGTCGTTTTTCTGAAAGTCTGTCATATTCTAAAAGTTTGTAACTTTAAGTGACAAACTTTAGTTGTAAGTTACAAACTTAAGTTACAACTTTAAGTTGGGTTTCTTTCTACACTCTAAATGAATGTTTGCTTTGAAACCTAATTTTATGCATTTTGTACTTTTTTTTTTTACGTTTTCTTAAAGAAGTCCCTTCCAACTGTACAAGGTTCAGATTCCACCCCCCCCCCCAGCCTGGCCTGAACCCCGCCCACAGGCTTTCTCCCTTTGGGTTTCCTCAGCCCCGACATCCCTCTTCTTCCCCAGAAGAAATTGCTAAGACTCTTCATAATCCTTCCGCTATGAAAGCAACAGTCACAAAAAGTCTCGCTCCGGCCTCCCTGTGCGCTCCGATTTCCCATTTCCCTTTCCATCTTTATTCCTTAATGTCCCACCCCTTTGCCCTGCCCTTTCCCTTTCTTGCAGAGTTGTTTTTCTCTTCTGCTGTCTTCACCTCACGCTAAGGCCTCTCAAGCAGTGGATCGGAAATTTGACGCAGGCCATAAATCCTTACTCAGCGTGCCTCCAGAAGGCTTCCACAGACAGCTGACATTTGCTCCTCCACACCTCAGGGACTTCCCCTCTAGAGCTCTGTGGCAGACGCCCTTCCCTCAGCCACCTCTCCATCTTCCTTGCAAACAGAGCTGTATTTTGTTGGTAGCAGGTGGGCAGCAGAAGACTTGGAGAAGAGTGACATTTTCACATCCTGGGGGGCGTGGTTGAAGCTGGCCAGGTAATCCCAGTCGTCTCCACCGGTGATTGTGCTGGACAAGGGTATGTGTCCCAGTCTGGCCAGTGAGACTGAGGGGACATCTGCTGAGGGACCTTCTCTTTCATAATAAAAGAAAGAGTATTGCAGGAGGAATAGCCCCCTTGCCACCCTTGCCCTTACTGCCTGCCTGGGATGCCATCACCTCAGAACGTGTTGCTTAACATTTCAGGGATCATCTTGTCACTCTTAGTGAAAGGCCAAGAGCATCTCAGGGTGTAGACACAGAGCCCTTCCTGTCACTGCCAGTCCTCTCAGTCAACCCTGGGATCACTTGTCCCCAGACTTGTCATTTGCTGTACATAATAAATATCCTTATAGATGTAAGCCACCTTTGCTCTGTTTTATTGTTACTTGCAGCCCAAGGTAATCCTAATAGAAACAGCCAGCACAGATTTGCATAGCAGACCAAAGTCACTCCCAGCATGGCCCAGTCCTCTGTGTCTATCAGTTAGGAGGGTCTGTTACCCCCATTTAGCAAATGACTTACTCTAGTGATACAGCTGGGGAACACTGTACTGAAATGCAGCTGATTATACTTTAGGGCAGAGACGATGTGCCAGAGGGGGCTGATTCGTTAGGAGAAGTGGTAGAAAAATGCAGGCTGTTGGTATGCCTTTAACCACTTCTTTTAGCCATCAGCAAGTTCTTATAAGAGGTAAGTTTAGGCTTAACTGAACTCCAAAAGCAGAGAGAGAAAACCACACAGCTTTATTAAAAGAAGGCCTTTTGTGCTCTTGCCCTAAAATCCAAGTTGAATGCAGGGCCAAGAATCTGGAGATGTTCAAGGTCAGAAAGGCTGTGTTGTCCACCCAAGCTACAGTTAGACATGGAAGATGCAGAAGACTGAGAAACAGACAACACTGAGGGCAAAGATGAGCCTGTTGTCACAGGCCTCTTTCTGCCACCTTCTTTTTTTTTTTTTT